GGATGCTGTAACCTACACCGAGCACGCCAAGAGGAAGACCGTTGTAGCCATGGACATCGTCTACGCCCTCAAGAGACAAGGCAAGACCTTGTACGGATTCGGAGGTTAAGAAGCTTCTTAGCCAGCTGCTCTCCTAGCTGCAGCACCAAACCGGCCTTTTTAAAGGCCACCAACTATCTCAGTTCGTAAGTCAAGCTCTGCTAGAGCTCTAACAAGCTCTGCTAGAGCTCTAATAAGCTCAGCTAGTTAGTGTAGAGCTTTCAGCGTCTCTAAATTAACTTAAAATGCTAGCTCGATTCTGATTGGCTCTCCCATCTTGGTGGTCGATTTGAACTTACTACCCTAAGACAGGGAGCCAAATTGCGGGTAAAGTCAATCGTCAATCTACAGCTTCTACCACAACAGCTACAACTACAACACGATGTCAGGCAAAGGAGGAAAATCGAAGAGCGGCAAAGTTGGAGCCAAGGCCAAGACCCGATCAAGCCGAGCTGGACTGCAGTTCCCTGTTGGAAGAATCCACCGATTCATCCGCAAGGGCAACTACGCTGAGCGAGTTGGTGCTGGAGCCCCAGTCTACCTTGCTGCTGTGCTCGAGTACTTGACTGCTGAGATCCTTGAGCTGGCTGGCAACGCTGCTAAAGACAACAAGAAGTCCAGGATCATCCCCAGACACTTGCAGTTGGCCATCAGGAACGACGAAGAGTTGAACAAGCTGCTCCACGGAGTGACCATTGCTCAGGGCGGTGTGCTGCCAAACATCCAGGCTGTGCTCCTACCCAAGAAGCAGTCTTCGTCTCAGCCCAAGTCTGACAAGAAGTAAAGAGCTTCTACCTCAACCAGTTGCTAGCTTTCAAGCTTCAACACCAAACCGGCCTTTTTAAAGGCCACCAAATTTAAAGTTCTATCTTTTTATCCTGCCTAGCAGGCATAGCTAAGCTACTCAGAGCAAACTAAGGGGGCCTAAAAACACTAGCTAGCCACGAGCTCGACTGGCAGTCCAAAATTGAAGCTTAATTTAGCTTTCAGCTGAGAGCCAATCAAAATTGAGTATTCTTCGAGCTCGATTTGAACACAATTTTTCAAGTTAGGTTGGCTTTTTGATCGATCCACAACTCAACACCACTACAACTACATCTCTACAATGGCACCCAAAGTCAGCGGAAAGGCAGTCAAGAAGGCAGGCAAAGCCCAGAAGAAGCCCACCGGAGACAAGAAAAAGAAGAAGAAGAGGCGAGAGACCTACTCTCTCTACATCTACAAGGTGCTGAAGCAGGTCCACCCTGACACTGGCATCTCATCCAAGGCTATGTCGATCATGAACAGCTTCGTGAACGACATCTTCGAGAGAATCGCCGGTGAAGCTTCAAAACTGGCCCACTACAACAAGCGATCAACCATCTCTAGCCGGGAGATCCAAACCGCAGTCAGACTGCTGTTGCCCGGAGAGCTGGCCAAGCATGCTGTCAGTGAGGGAACCAAGGCCGTCACCAAGTACACCAGCTCCAAGTAGACGACCAGCTTCTACAACTAGTTGCTCTGAGCAACACCAAACCGGCCTTTTTAAAGGCCACCAAAAAGCATAGTTCTCTTTGTACTCTAGCTAGCAAGCTCAAACTCGCTTGTATGCAATTTCGAGCTCTCAACAGCTAGCTTTGAGCGTCTAATTTGAGCTACTAAGCTCAACTGAGCTTGTAACTTGCTTAAATCAGCTCCAGACCAACTTTAGAGCTAAAAAACTGCCAAATTTTAAGCTTTCACGTCTCAGCCAATCAGATTTGAGCTTCATTGTGCTCTCTAACTTACAGCACGAAATAGCTAAGTTTGAGCTTCCAAAGCTAGCTAACAAGTCCAATTCAGCTAGTTTAAGCTGAAGTGAGCTTGTAGCTGGCTGAAGTTAGCTTTGGGTCAATTCTAGAGGCAGAAACACCAAATTTTCCAGTTTTCACTTCTCAGCCAATCAGATTCGAGCTTAGTTTGAGTTTCCGTTATCACTCAGACACGGGCCAATCACATTTGCCACTTTTGGCGGGTAACCTCCAATCCAAGTATAAATAGTCTGCACTTCACATACTTTACTATATATAGTTGAAAATGCTCCTTAATATATATAAGTAACGACTCACCAGAGCTCTTCTTCTATTGCTCTTTTACGTGCCTAACTATTTTTTATACGTCGAACGCTCTCAAGCCTTCTGGAGATCTGAATCTCTAGGTTACCTCACGGATTTTACCAAAATTCAACACCCAAAATCTACTTCTACATCTACAACTCAGCTACACTCAACTGACGAAGAATGGCCCGAACGAAGCAGACTGCACGAAAGAGTACCGGAGGAAAGGCACCCAGGAAGCAACTGGCTACCAAGGCTGCAAGAAAGAGCGCACCTTCCACCGGCGGTGTGAAGAAGCCTCACCGATACAGACCAGGAACCGTTGCCCTGAGGGAGATCAGGAGATACCAGAAGTCCACTGAGCTGTTGATCCGAAAGCTGCCCTTCCAGCGACTGGTCAGAGAAATCGCTCAGGACTTCAAGACTGACTTGCGGTTCCAGAGCACTGCCATCATGGCTCTCCAGGAAGCCAGCGAGAGCTACTTGGTCAGCCTGTTCGAGGACACCAACTTGTGCGCGATCCACGCCAAGAGAGTCACCATCATGCCCAAGGACATCCAGTTGGCTCGACGAATCCGAGGAGAGCGAGCTTAAGCTCAAGGTGTACTCCACACCAACCAAACCGGCCTTTTTAAAGGCCACCCAACTATCAGTTCTATATTTCTTCACAGTGAGCTTAGCTCAAGCTAACTTCGACCAGAGCAAGCTCAAGCTGGTATAGGTTGAGCTCTGCTTCCCCCTCATTGGGGTGACGCAGCTGGAAAATGAGCTCGAGCTAGCTGTTCAATTGCTCCCGTACGTAGCCTAACTTTTTTGAGCTTCGAGCTCTCAGAGCTCGGCAAGCTACCTCATAGAGCTCAGGCAAGCTTGTATGAGCTTGATTTAAATCACAGAGCTCGAATAAGCTCTGTGGACTGACCAGTTTAAGCTAGTACACCTTGTGTGAGCTCAAAATTTTTTCAATTGCTCCCGTACGTAGCCTAACTATTTTCAAGTTCGAGCTCTCAGAGCTCGGCAAGCTATCCCACAGACCTCAAGCGAGCTCCTACGAGCTTGATTTAAATCACATAGCTCTGATAAGCTCTGTGGACTGACCAGTTTGAGGTAGAAGTTCTTGTGGGAGCTCAAAAAAAAATTTTTCAATTGCTCCTTTACGTGCCTAACTTTTTTTACTTTTTATTATCTGCTCTCTCATTGGCTGTTGGTATGAGGGCCAATCAGAGAGCAGAGAAGTCGGTCGGAAATTGATAGGTACCTAGCGATTTTTGCCAATCTCAAACCCAACTTCTACTTCAATTTCTACAACAACTACAACTGCAACAACCATGTCTGGACGAGGAAAGGGAGGAAAAGGACTTGGCAAAGGAGGAGCAAAGAGGCACCGAAAGATCTTAAGAGATAACATCCAAGGCATCACCAAGCCAGCCATCAGACGTCTTGCTCGACGAGGAGGTGTCAAGCGTATCAGTGGACTGATCTACGAAGAGACCCGAGGAGTGCTCAAGAACTACTTGGAGAGCGTGATCAGGGATGCTGTAACCTACACCGAGCACGCCAAGAGGAAGACCGTTGTAGCCATGGACATCGTCTACGCCCTCAAGAGACAAGGCAAGACCTTGTACGGATTCGGAGGTTAAGAAGCTTCTTAGCCAGCTGCTCTCCTAGCTGCAGCACCAAACCGGCCTTTTTAAAGGCCACCAACTATCTCAGTTCGTAAGTCAAGCTCTGCTAGAGCTCTAACAAGCTCTGCTAGAGCTCTAATAAGCTCAGCTAGTTAGTGTAGAGCTTTCAGCGTCTCTAAATTAACTTAAAATGCTAGCTCGATTCTGATTGGCTCTCCCATCTTGGTGGTCGATTTGAACTTACTACCCTAAGACAGGGAGCCAAATTGCGGGTAAAGTCAATCGTCAATCTACAGCTTCTACCACAACAGCTACAACTACAACACGATGTCAGGCAAAGGAGGAAAATCGAAGAGCGGCAAAGTTGGAGCCAAGGCCAAGACCCGATCAAGCCGAGCTGGACTGCAGTTCCCTGTTGGAAGAATCCACCGATTCATCCGCAAGGGCAACTACGCTGAGCGAGTTGGTGCTGGAGCCCCAGTCTACCTTGCTGCTGTGCTCGAGTACTTGACTGCTGAGATCCTTGAGCTGGCTGGCAACGCTGCTAAAGACAACAAGAAGTCCAGGATCATCCCCAGACACTTGCAGTTGGCCATCAGGAACGACGAAGAGTTGAACAAGCTGCTCCACGGAGTGACCATTGCTCAGGGCGGTGTGCTGCCAAACATCCAGGCTGTGCTCCTACCCAAGAAGCAGTCTTCGTCTCAGCCCAAGTCTGACAAGAAGTAAAGAGCTTCTACCTCAACCAGTTGCTAGCTTTCAAGCTTCAACACCAAACCGGCCTTTTTAAAGGCCACCAAATTTAAAGTTCTATCTTTTTATCCTGCCTAGCAGGCATAGCTAAGCTACTCAGAGCAAACTAAGGGGGCCTAAAAACACTAGCTAGCCACGAGCTCGACTGGCAGTCCAAAATTGAAGCTTAATTTAGCTTTCAGCTGAGAGCCAATCAAAATTGAGTATTCTTCGAGCTCGATTTGAACACAATTTTTCAAGTTAGGTTGGCTTTTTGATCGATCCACAACTCAACACCACTACAACTACATCTCTACAATGGCACCCAAAGTCAGCGGAAAGGCAGTCAAGAAGGCAGGCAAAGCCCAGAAGAAGCCCACCGGAGACAAGAAAAAGAAGAAGAAGAGGCGAGAGACCTACTCTCTCTACATCTACAAGGTGCTGAAGCAGGTCCACCCTGACACTGGCATCTCATCCAAGGCTATGTCGATCATGAACAGCTTCGTGAACGACATCTTCGAGAGAATCGCCGGTGAAGCTTCAAAACTGGCCCACTACAACAAGCGATCAACCATCTCTAGCCGGGAGATCCAAACCGCAGTCAGACTGCTGTTGCCCGGAGAGCTGGCCAAGCATGCTGTCAGTGAGGGAACCAAGGCCGTCACCAAGTACACCAGCTCCAAGTAGACGACCAGCTTCTACAACTAGTTGCTCTGAGCAACACCAAACCGGCCTTTTTAAAGGCCACCAAAAAGCATAGTTCTCTTTGTACTCTAGCTAGCAAGCTCAAACTCGCTTGTATGCAATTTCGAGCTCTCAACAGCTAGCTTTGAGCGTCTAATTTGAGCTACTAAGCTCAACTGAGCTTGTAACTTGCTTAAATCAGCTCCAGACCAACTTTAGAGCTAAAAAACTGCCAAATTTTAAGCTTTCACGTCTCAGCCAATCAGATTTGAGCTTCATTGTGCTCTCTAACTTACAGCACGAAATAGCTAAGTTTGAGCTTCCAAAGCTAGCTAACAAGTCCAATTCAGCTAGTTTAAGCTGAAGTGAGCTTGTAGCTGGCTGAAGTTAGCTTTGGGTCAATTCTAGAGGCAGAAACACCAAATTTTCCAGTTTTCACTTCTCAGCCAATCAGATTCGAGCTTAGTTTGAGTTTCCGTTATCACTCAGACACGGGCCAATCACATTTGCCACTTTTGGCGGGTAACCTCCAATCCAAGTATAAATAGTCTGCACTTCACATACTTTACTATATATAGTTGAAAATGCTCCTTAATATATATAAGTAACGACTCACCAGAGCTCTTCTTCTATTGCTCTTTTACGTGCCTAACTATTTTTTATACGTCGAACGCTCTCAAGCCTTCTGGAGATCTGAATCTCTAGGTTAC